ACTAGCGCTTTCAAAAATCCCCTAGAGTGTATAAAACACAGCAGACCGTAACGGACATACCAAGGCCACATCTATATAGGCGATTAGTAATAGGTATAAGTAGAACACTATTACCGTGAGTTTTTCTTTTTCATAAAAATTTTATTTACAAATACATTAAAAGATGGTAACATCACAGTATAGCGGCAAATTTGAAGTAACAATGAATATATGTCATTCCTGGTTATACCTGGATGAAATCTGAGAAGAAAAGAAAGTATTGCATTGAATGCATAGATTTGTAATATGTAAATGAGAAATTCGATATAAGCACACATCATTGCATTGACTACTAAAACAATGAACCTGAAATGTACGTTAATTTACCGAAATGTTCGAAAACATTAAAAACTAATTTCACATGTTTTTTTATCTACATCTACAAGGGGAGATTAATAATAAGAACATCTTCTTTCACATTACAGAAGATTTGTGTGGTACACCAGTACTCAGAAAAGAGATTTTTGGGGAAACGGGCAAAATCGGATCTTATACGCAATACTACATTATTTAGGAAATGACAAACAAGAGAATCGGGAGTAGGAGATTTCTGGTGAATTTTTTTGGAACAACGAATCTGCCAAATAGTTGATAGAGATTCTGCAACTAGATACAAGATAAGAGATTTTAGTTTCAGAGTTAGATTGACAGGAGCATGAAAACGCCACAGTGCCGAATCAGTAGGGACCTTCTTGTCTGAGATTTGGTGTATCCAAGAGTTCACTAAATTTAAAAGAGACTGAATGAAATAACACTCATAGAACAAATGTGATATAGTTTCAAAGCCATCACAAAATATACAATATTTTGAGGGATCAATCCCAAACTTATACATTCGAAAATTGACTGGTAGTATGTCATGAACTATTTTGAAAACGACATCCCGGGCACGGGTATCTAAAAACTTATTTGAAACATTACGAAATACCGGCACAAAATCCACTGTAGGAAAGACTTTCAGGACACGAGGTGGCTTAATAATTTTAGACAATAAAGAGGTGTAAAAACACTTGGTAGTAAAGGACTCAAAATTAGAGTCGGAGAAATGATCACGATATTTCTTAAATACTTTATATACAGTAGAATAAAATGCCGGGCAACAATCACTGTGAGGAGAGTTATTATTAACAAATTTGAGAAAATCACGAAACTGCAAAGAAAGCCAATACATTGTAAACCCTCTCCATTTTGCATCGGAAGCATTATAGATAAAGTTCTGACAATGTTTCAGATAAAATGAGTGTAATTTGACCTTGATATTAACAATAGCAAGACCACCACTGGTGGGAGAGGCGTAGGCCGAGGAGCGCGCAAGTGGCTCCCATTTTGAATTCCAAAGGAATCGAAACAGAGTTCTCTGGAGAAGTTCCAAATAATGCTGAGGCATTATGAAAACAGTACCTGTATACCAGATCCTGCTGCATGCAAGGACCTTTATAATAATAGATTTTTGCATCAAAGATAATTTGCGCATTTTCCATAAATCTAAGGTTCTAGAGAATTTTTTGAAAACCGGCTGCCAAATATCGTCAGGGGAAATACCATTACCAACCCAAACTCCACAAATTTTATGCTTTTCTACCCATGTTATACCAAAAGGATGATCGGAACGGGATTTCCATTTCCCCAGCCAAATACCCTTAGTTTTCTGCCTATTTAATTTAGCCCCTGACGCTTTGCCGTACAAATCACACCAGTATAACAATTTTTGAATAGATAAATCGCTGCAGCAGATACCGGTACTGTCATCTGCATATAGGGAAAGTTTTGCTGATTGTGTGGAACCCGGAATCTTTACACCTATAATTTCAGGGTCATCACGAATCTTTTTAGCAAAGGGTTCCAAAACCAAAACGTATAACAGGGGAGATAAACTACAGCCTTGCCTTACACCACGAGTGATGGGAAAGGGGTCAGAAATAAAACCATTAACAATTACAGAAGAAAAAACATCCTTGTATAAGATACCAACCCATTTGATAAAATCGGGGCCAAAATTGAAGGCTTTTAGTACTTTAAATAAAAATTGGTAATTTACTCTGTCAAAGGCCTTCTCTTGATCTAACGATATAAAAGAACACTTTAAATCTTTTTGATTTACATAATCTACAATATTACGCAATAAATGACAATTCTCAAAAATGGACCTCCCCTTTATAGAACATGTTTGGTCAATGCCAACAAGTTTGCCAATCACTTTACTTAACCTATTAGTTATGACTTTAGACAGAATTTTATAATCGATATTCAAAAGAGAAATAGGTCTCCAATATTTCATATTAGAAGAATTTCTTGGATCCTTACACAACAAAGAAATAAAAGACATTTTCTGGGAGGAACATAACTCCCCCTTTTTGAATATCTCATTATATAAAGACACTAATTGATCTCCAAAAATATCAAAAAACATAACATAAAATTCTTTAGTTAAACCATCAGAACCTGGAGATTTATTATTTTTCATATGCTTAAGAGCTGCTAATACCTCATCTTTCCCTATCGGCCCTTCACACATAATATTATCAAAACTAGATAAACTGGGAAGGTCTTTACATAACGAATCAGCTAATTTAAAATCAATTGGTTCTTCTGTGAAAAGATTGGAATAAAAATCCCGGAAAGCTGATAAAATACCTTTGGAATCTGAAACAGAGGATGAATCAGTTATATCAACTTTCTCAATAAACTTTCTTTTACCTCTATCATTCTCCATTTTGAAAAAATAGCGAGACGGTTTCTCAGAAAAATCTAAAAAATTGGCTCTCGACCTTATCATCGAACTGCGAAAACTATCATAATGAAAATCAGATATTTGTTTTTAATAGCAAAAACTTGGTCAATAAAACAACCAGGTGATTGTCTCTCTGAGTTTAATAAGATGTTATATTTACATTGCAGGGATTTTAAAACACTGTGCCTTACCCTTGCTTTCTTCTTACAATATTCCATGATAAAATATTTGATAACAGACTTGCAATTGTCCCAGTTATTCAAAGAAACAGTGTCTTTATTAGACAAATCGAGCCAAAACTTTCTAAAACAAATTTGAAATGCCCTATCATTCAAAACACTATTGTTAAGTTTCCAGTAAAAAGGGCCGAACTTAGCCTCAGAAAACAATCTACATTTTAAAAGCACAAAATCATGATCAGACCCACCGGATGGAAAAACGGTATTCTGTATGAGATATTCTTTCAACATAAAAGACACATAAAAACGATCTAGTCTACAAGACACCCCATTACCATGCCATGTAGTAGCTACAGATTTTGGGTTCAGTGACCGAAAAGTATCAAATAGTTTAAAATCACGACAAATGCTTTTGATTGAATTAATACCACCTAAACCGCGTTTCGGATTCCCACCAATCTTATCAAGAGCGATATTCTCAATACAGTTAAAATCACCAGCAAAAATTACAGGTCTCAGACACGAAAAATGGGGTATTATATCATCAAAAAACAATCTACGTTCCGCTTCATCATTAGGAGCATATATATTAATAACCCTATACTCGCTGTCAAAATATTTGAAATCAACAAACATCACTCTACCATCTTCGTCAAACTCAAACTTTTGTAAACCAATATCAATAAAAAACAAGACAGCTGTACCTCTACTATTATAGGTACCAAAATTCCATAAAGCCTTACACTTTAAAAATCTTTCAATCTTAGTACCAACAGCCAAGTTAGAAACATGGGTCTCCTGTAACATTACAATATCAATATGATGATTATGTACAAAATCACTTAACTCGTACTGTTTAGACCGAGATAAAAAGCCATTACAATTCCAAGATATAATATTTATTGTATTATTTGTTTTATTAACCATCTTATTTTATATCTCAGACAATTACATAAAGGGTACGGAAATAAAAACATGACGGCAAAAACGACAGAGATAAATGCAGAGGCCGGCAAACACCGTGGATAAAACATGAGATAAACAGACAAACGCGAGAAGTATACTATTATATGAGCTATGATACGAACTACGAATATCGACGCGTTACCTGTTATACACCTACAGGTAAAATCAACCTCGCACGCGCACAGGTAAGCGAACTCGTGACCATCGAACAGGGACACAGGTAAACAACACTCAATGCATTCGACCAGAACCCACCGAACCAGTTTATGGATTGTCAGCTTCATTTCGAAACATAAAAAAGTATAATAGGTTGCAAAAATACTACAAGAAACAATATGCGAGAAAATTCCAAAGATAAACTACGAGTACGAGCACATGTAAGAATAAAGAAGTTTAAGAATATGGGATTCGCCGAAACCAACGTGGACAATACTGACATAAAAAAGCTAGTTGTACTGTGCCAACCAACAAAGCTACTCACAACATTGTGAAATACGTAACACAATGAACTATTCTGAAAAGATGGCAGTGATAAGTAATAACACATACATGTAATACAAAACAAAATGAACAAATCTATATACAGCAAAAAGTACAAATCGTTATAACACACACTGAATATGTAAATAGAAGAACAAACTGAGGAACAGAATAAATAAAGTATATAAAACGTAAAAGTAATATAAACAGATATGTAAGCTAACAATGCATGGCAAAGAGAAAACAGGTAAACTAGAATGGTAGAAGTTATATAGCAAAAGAAAAAGTTCAAACTGGGGTTAAGATGACAATACATGGAGCAGCCAGACTGCTGTTGTAGTATATAAAAACGAAATAAATCTTTATTGAAATTAATATCATGGGGGACCCACATTAACTCGTACGTATGATTACTAAAAATAAATCGGCTATAATTACAACGTTTACCAAAAGCCATGTCAACACTACTAAAACAAATTATAATTACGGGCAACACCTTATAGGTGAGAATAACAAAGTCCAGGGACTCGCCAAGGTCAAATAAGCTTCTCTGTACCGCCGCCATTGTCAATAGGATTATAAAAGTTTCGTTAACGGAAAAGCACTCACTGAATCGATTCCGCCTCATCTTCATCGATCACTAGACGGTCATCTGAGTCCTTGTCACTATCGTCACCTTCACTCATATCCATGTAGACAGACCTAAAACGCTGCCCAGGAACAAGATCTCCATTGGATAGCACCTCAGGTGACCTGTTGGAGTGCCTTCCCCTCTTCGTTCGCTGAAATCCTTCCTCGTCAATCTCGGGGCTATTACGTTTCCCACTGTCGGAGACACCACTCCCTCCGGGCGAGGGGCTCGCGGTTTCCTCCTGGTTAGGCGGCGTCGGCCCTTTCTCGTCCTGCGTCGGTAGAACGATCGGTTCAGCAGTCGCCGTCGACGGGACCAAAGGACGTGCCACCTTAGCAGCATATGTGAGCTTTGTTGTCTCCACCGGTCTCCCCGGACACTTAGACCGAACATGGCCGACCTGCTGGCAGCGCAAGCATATCGGTGGCCTTCCTGGAACCATGATTAGGGCTGTCTTCCCAAAAATCCGTATCCTGTGAGGAATATCATCCTGATCACCCTCCCGAATAACCATAGTTATCACTCGTGTGCCAGTCTCTAGAGTCACACCACTAATGTCAGTCTCCTCTCGGTGCACATTAATGACCTTTCCATAGCCCTCAAAGTAACTGGCAATGGCATTATCAGCAATCCACGAGGGAAGCCACTGGACCCTAATAGTTAGACGCCGCTGGTCACAAGGCTCAGGGTGTAGCACGAATTGCTCACAGGAAATGGGTCCGGCAGCTACTGTTCTGTCCACAAGATCAATATTGGAAAGCGTCGCAAACCATGTGTTCGGAGCCTCGCACCGGAAAACTGATGCCATGTCCTTCCCAGGGACGCCACCATCCAGCAACGCCTTCACGATTTCAAAGCGGGTGACAGTATTCCTCCTCGGACCGGACACATGCAGCCTCACCGTACTCCTCAGGACATCAAGATCGATGTGATCTTCAGACATTGCGAAACAAAACGAACCAACCAAAAATAATCACGCTTGGCTTCGTTTTGAAGACGTATTTTTATCTCGCTTTTGTGTTCTATATATACAATTGAAAAAATCTTAAACGCGGTGTTTCAAATCTATTCATTTCAAAAAACATTCATTTACGAATAGCAACCTAAATCAGACACTGCACTAATGTCGAGTATTACATTTTGTAAATTGTGAAATAAAAATTCGGTCTTCACCTCCGTTTAACTAATTGTATCGAATTATTTTTTCATTATATCATTGTGTATCATAGGATAGGTAACGTATACTGAACGTATGTAAAACAGATCCGCTACACACCAAAACCCAATAGCTTCAAAATCTCACCATACTTCAGGTTTTCGTGAAAATATTGCTACGTAGTTTGTTATTTCAAACATGATTACCTCTCGATATGTTGAATTTATTAGGTGCATTGAATTTTAAGTGAAGCAGCATTTTTTATGCAAATGAGTGTATACCTATACAGACGACTTTATGATTCAATATTAGAAATACACCAAAGGGTGGATGGTGGGCGTGTCTTTGCTTCAAAAGGAGGTCTTCAAACGTCTCTATATAGCTTTTTCACGTTATCAGTCTGACCGGTTTAAGAGGCCAGGTACTATCGTGACTGACATGATGGTGTTTGACAGGAAATTCCGATATATGTGCATTGTAGGATAAATCCAGACCACCTGAATTGTTTCATCCGGGTATCTCCTGAAAAACTTGGTGAGCACGGAACCAGAGACTTAGTTTTTTTGTTTTTAGGAAATACATCAATCACACGGGGAACATTAGACGTGTACACAGGAATAACACTATATTCTAACGTTCTAACCTTAAACCTGATACGGATAACGTCAGTTCATGTGGAAAGGGACGTAAAACAATTAACAGCCTTATTGATATTGGCATACACCAGAACGGCATGAATCCATTGATCGGTGTACGGATTATAATATAACTTTCCTTCCGGTTGTATGGGAGTGAATTGTGGGCAGGACCATGTAAACTATCGGTAACCCAGTTATTAGAGAGAACACAAAGATACGCTGCAGGGAAATGCCCGGGATTAAAAAAAACATCATCAGCAGCAATAGCAACAAGAACACTGGAGCTAAAAAAATGTTTGGTGTGAATTTGAGATACGAAAATCATTCTTCTGGAATAAGTTATGCAATGCAAGCACTAGCTTCATAACGAAATCTGTATTTCTTATTCGAATGAGTAGCTTTGTGATCGGAAAATCCACGTTCTAGTTGTATCATTAATATATCTGAGACAATGTTTGATATACATTCTTTTCTCTGGAATTCGTTATTTAATCTATATATAATAGATGAAATAACGATTAACAGCATAATGTTCGAGACAATGACATATATTTGTTAACAACGTTACTGAACAATAATAATTCGGTGAATCGTGTCACAATTTTTAATATGATATCTTTCTAACTCGTTACAAACGTAGACATCCGCACATAGGTCCAAATCCTTTGTTGGAATTGGGTTGTAAATATTAAAGATGACGAACACAATTTCATAGTAAGTTAAGTTCTCCTGTCAGATAGTAACAGATTCTGTAATTTGTAGACTGTGCCGTAAAACTGTAATAGGAAGGAGTAATGAAAAACACCTGCCCCCTCTGGGGTTCGAACCAGCGACCCTTCGGTCTCTACCGGACACTCTACCGCTCTATCCCCAGTGCCGAGGCTGGTAATACTTTTTCTAATGATAATTTGAATTAGCTGATTTATTGTAACAGATCATTCTCTCTTCAATTCCATAGAAGATATCATTTACTAGAAATTACATTAATTGCCTTATGGATTTATTGCTTGTACTCAGGATGTCTTTTGTAGAAAAGTACTGTGATAAGTTGTGATAACTTGTGTCCAGTTATCTTGTAATTGTTTATTTGCAATAAAATATGTTTAAATCAAGCGAATGTTTTAAACCCGTTCTGTTCGAAACTGGGTCTATACTGACCTTTCCTTCCACTGTCCGAGAAATCTACGTGTGTAAGGAGAACACAAATACCTGTCATGATGGCCATTTTCTACAGAGGTTGTATTAAATATGTCTGTATTAATCAATCTCGTTGACATAACCCTGACATTCACAAAAGGGATCTTACATCATACAGACAGTATACAATTTACAGCAGTTAATTAAACGTTAAATAAACGTATTAAAAAGACGGACTTTGTTGGAATCACACATATATATAGTTTCAAGCAAAGAAAATAATGGACGTTCATTATTAAATACCATTAAAAAAGGACACTGTCAACTAGCGCTTTCAAAACTCCCCTAGAGTGTATAAAACACAGCAGACCGTAACGGACATACCACGGCCACATCTATATAGGCGATTAGTAATAGGTATAAGTAGAACACTATTACCGTGAGTTTTGTTCACATGACAATCGAGACTTGCCAGGAAAGTCACAATAGGCTTCTTTTTGAAGACGTATTTTTATCTCGCTTTTGTGTTCTATATATACAATTGAAAAAATCTTAAACGCGGTGTTTCAAATCTATTCATTTCAAAAAACACTCATTTACGAATAGCAACCTAAATCAGACACTGCACTAATGTCGAGTATTACATTTTGTAAATTGTGAAATAAAAATTCAGTCTTCACCTCCGTTTAACTAATTGTATCGAATTATTTTTCCATTATATCATTGTGTATCATAGGATAGGTAACGTATACTGAACGTATGTAAAACAGATCCGCTACACACCAAAACCCAATAGCTTCAAAATCTCACCATACTTCAGTTTTTCGTGAAAATATTGCTACGTAGTTTGTTATTTCAAACATGATTACCTCTCGATATGTTGAATTTATTAGGTGCATTGAATTTTAAGTGAAGCAGCATTATGTATGCAAATGAGTGTATACCTATACAGACGACTTAATGATTCAATATTAGAAATACACCAAAGGGTGGATGGTGGGCGTGTCTTTGCTTCAAAAGGAGGTCTTCAAACGTCTCTATATAGCTTTTTCACGTTATCAGTCTGACCGGTTTCAGAGGCCAGGTACTATCGTGACTCACATGATGGTGTTTAATGTTTGACAGGAAATTCCGATATATGTGCATTGTAGGATAAATCCAGACCACCTGAATTGTTTCATCCGGGTATCTCCTGAAAAACTTGGTGAGCACGGAACCAGAGACTTAGTTTTTTGTTTTTAGGAAATACATTAATAACACGGGGAACATCATACGTGTACACAGGAATAACACTATATTCTAACGTTCTAACCTTAAACCTGATGCGGATATCGTCAGTTCATGTGGAAAGGGACGTAAAACAATTAACAGCCTTATTGATATTGGCATACACCAGAACGGCATGAATCCATTGATCGGTGTACGGATTATAATATAACTTGTCCTTCCGGTTGTATGGGAGTGAATTGTGGGCAGGACCAAGTAAACTATCGGTAACCGAGTTATTAGAGAGAACACAAAGATACGCTGCAGGGAAATGTCAGGGATTAAAAAAAACATCATCATCAGCAATAGCAACAAGAACACTGGAGCTACAAAATGTTTGGTGTGAATTTGAGATACGAAAATTATTCTTCTGGAATACGTTATGCAATGCAAGCACTAGCTTCGTATCGCAATCTGTATTTCTTATTCGAATGAGTAGCTTTGTGATCGGAAAATCCACGTTCTAGTTGTATCATTAATATATCTGAGACAATGGTTGATATACATTCTTTTCTCTGGAATTCGTTATTTAATCTATATATAATAGATGAAATAACGATTAACAGCATAATGTTCGAGACAATGGCATATATTTGTTAACAACGTTACTGAACAATAATAATTCGGTGAATCGTGTCACAATTTTTAATATGATATATTTCTAACTCGTTACAAACGTAGACATCCGCACATAGGTCCAAATCCTTTGTTGGAATTGGGTTGTAAATATTAAAGATGACGAACACAATTCCATAGTAAGTTAAGTTCTCCTGTCAGATAGTAACAGATTCTGTAATTTGTAGACTGTGCCGTAAAACTGTAATAGGAAGGAGTAATGAAAAACACCTGCCCTCGTTTGGATTCGAACCAGCGACCCTTCGGTCTCTACTGGACACTCTACCGCTCTATCCCCAGTGCCGAGGCTGGTAATACTTTTTCTAATGATAATTTGAATTAGCTGATTTATTGTAACGGATCATTCTCTCTTCAATTCCATAGAAGATATCATTTACTAGAAATTACATTAATTGCCTTATGGATTTATTGCTTGTACTCAGGATGTCTTTTGTAGAAAAGTACTGTGATAAGTTGTGATAACTTGTGTCCAATTATCTTGTAATTATTTATTTGCAATAAAATATGTTTAAATCAAGCGAATGTTTTAAACCCGTTCTGTTCGAAACTGGGTCTATACTGACCTTTCCTTCCACTGTCCGAGAAATCTACGTGTGTAAGGAGAACACAAATACCTGTCATGATGGCCATTTTCTCGAGGTTGTATTAAATATGTCTGTATTAATCAATCTCATTGACATAACCCTGACATTCACACTTAGGGATCTTACATCATACAGACAGTATACAATTTACAGCAGTTAATTAAACGTTAAATAAACGTATTAAAAAGACGGACTTTGTTGGAATCACACATATCATATAGTTTAAATAATGGACGTTCATTATTAAAATACCATTAAAAAAGGACACTGTCAACTAGCGCTTTCAAAAATCCCCTAGAGTGTATAAAACACAGCAGACCGTAACGGACGTACCACGGTCACATCTATATAAGCGATTAGTAAAAGGTATAAGTAGAACACTATTACCGTGAATTTTGTTCACATGACAATCCAGACTTGCCAGGAAAGTCACAATAGGCTTCTTTTTGAAGACGTATTTTTATCTCGCTTTTGTGTTCTATATATACAATTGAAAAAATCTTAAACGCGGTGTTTCAAATCTATT